TAAAGGGATGTATCCATACCCAAATTTGAGTCTGTATCGATTCATCTAGTACAGGAGTGCTCAGACTTTTTCAGTATGTGAGCTACTTTTAAAATAATCGTGTCTGAAAGATCTACCACCTAGTACAAAAATGTTAAACATATAATTATTTGTAAATGTATTATGAATTCTTACATGTACAACACATTTTGATGTACCTTGCATAACGTCATGAGATAATACTGCACAACACAATTAAACTTTTTACATGTTTGTAATTACTTGAATCAGGGGTGCCCACACTTTTTCAGCATGCGAGCTGCTTATAAAATGTCCAAGTCAAAAATGATCGACTGAATACAAAGTCAAGGAAACTGTACTGGACTTAAGAGAACTTTCAATAGCACTTTACAGAAAACTGAAAAAAGTGAAGACAGTGATTAGGATTTTTAAACCTGTTTTTTTAAGTTCCTAACTGGAGTTACATGGTTAGTACGAGTTTTACAGTGGGGTTTAGCCTCTGCACATTTACCAAACCAAACCCAGATGTATTTGTGCACTTTTATTAGGCAAACTTCAGCCACATGTCGCGGTAGATCTGCTCTGTGCTGTTGGCATCCTCTGTGCCAACACTCTAACATCAATTTAGATCAATTTTTGCTTCGCGTTTTGTCTTGTCCTTCTAATCTGCGCATTGTGGCAGGAGCCTGTGCGCTTTACCTGGGAAAGAGCGAGAGCGTGAAAAGGCGAGGAGCGGTGCGCTGACGTGAGCAGATGGACAGGTAGGATGTCTTAAAAAAGTTGAACCTGCCCTGTGATACACGCTGGTACACAAGGACTAACGCTGTTGCGAACAAGCCACATGCAGGGAGCGTGTGTGATTGTGATGTGCCGCACAGTATCCGCGTGTTCCAAATGGCACACAGGCTATAGTGAGACGCTCCACACACTCCCGCACCCGGTACAAGTTTATTGCCAACAGCAGTGGCCGTAATATGATCGCACTTGTTGAGTGTCAGACCTCGAGTGAGAGACAAGACCGAGGCCAAACGTGATCGAGTCCGAGACGAGACACGGCGATCTACCCACATGACCTTGGCGATCGACTGGTAGATCGCGATCGACGTATTGAGCACCCTGGTCTAGTACAATAATTGATACTATCCAGCTGAGGTCATCAAAAGTCCTTGGGGGTGTGATGCTAACTGTAGGCTCTGCTATGTCTGAAGCTTTGTTAGATCAGAGCTTTATTTTAACACAAACTGACCAGGAAAGGCTGCTTTAGTCTGAACTTCAACAGTTGACATGATTTGCACTGTTAAACAAATCTCTCACAAATAAAATGGGGCGACAGTAGCTCAGCTGGCAGAGCATTTGAGTGATCAGAAGGTTGGTGGTTCAAATCCTGGGTCTGTGTACTCTGGTGTCTGAATGGGTGAGTGGTTTGTTGTTGTGAAGTGCTTTGAGTGCCTCGAAGGTAGAAAAGCGCTATATAAAAATGTGTCCATTTACCAAAATTACAGTCACAAGCGAGCCAACGGTTTTTCCATTAGTCACTCTCACCTTTTTGTTGTAAATCAAACACCTAAACAGGACCACGAACATCTGAGTTTTCAGACTACCGTACGAGTTTTTTGACAGCGATTGCCAGTGTGCATTGCATCACCATGGTAACTCCTAAACACTCCACCATAGACATACACCCCCACATGATGTCACTGCAAAGTATCAATCCTTACTGTAGATACTCCCATCCCTAATAGAAAGAAGACAAATTGACTTGCCATTCTACAATAATGTTAATGTAGTTATAGCAGGCCTGTAATGCGATTAATTTCTCATTATCTGAAGTGCATTAAAAGGTCAAGACAGCTGACTCTCTCATCTCATATAATAATATAATCTCGTGTTTTAAGAGGGGTTGCTTTCTTCTTCTGCGTTTGAATCTTTTGAACAGACATTTGTGTTCTGAACAGATCTGACGGGCCTGTGAGCTTCAAAGTTATAGAATTAGACAAACTTTTACTGAAATAATGCTCTGTCTGCTCCTTGAAGCCAGAGCCCCTGCTGGTGAGTAATAGTAGAATATTCAAGCTCCCACAGGAATCTGTTCTGTGAAGTTGATCTGAATGTACATTAAGACACAAAGTGATATGAGCTTGAAGGGGAGATGTTAGACAAAACTGGCTTTTAAAGGTTCTTTACTATGTAAAATTGACTCTTGTGAGCTTTAAGCTGTGTTATAATGTTGTTACGTCCTCAAAAACATATGTGGAGTTGTGTGTTGTTTCATTCACACATGTTTGAGTAAGCCTTTATTATTAGGCCATGTTCACACCGCTAGTTTGAATATTTGGTCCGCACCAGGCCATACAATTGTTATTATGTAGCATATAGACTCCAGTGTGGTCGCTTTCACACCTGCAAGTCAACCAAAATTGGTCCGATTGATGTATGTCCACGGCTCCTGCCCACAGCTGGGATGCTGGGGCTCTCCCGCACAACAGACCTCTCAGAAGTGAGGCCGAGATGCACCGTGCCGCCCAGTGGCCTTCTCACAGAGCCCTTCTGCAGGGTATGGGCCCCTCAAGCGGAGTCCGGCGTCTAGAATCTACGAACTGCCGGCCAAAGGCGTCCAGACCCAACCTCGGCCCCTGTTACATACGGGGCCTGCTAAATTTGGGACAGTAAAAATTGAGGACTGGGGGGCAGGTCAATTCAGGAGTCTGAACCTGCCCTCCCATGATGCATTTCACATAGTTTTGTTTGGACCTAGGGTTGGGCGATATGGATCAAAAAATATATCTCGATATATTTTGCTCTATCTCGATATACGATATATATCTGTACAGGGAAAAATAACCCCCAAAAACAACTGCAAAAACAAATATACCAAATTCCACAAGATCTTTTTTTTAAATTAAAGTGTAAGACGTCGGCAGTTCATATAGGAAGATTTAAGATTACAAAAAAACCTAATTACATAAATAATAATTTAACTGTAAAATAAAAGAAATAATACATATTTTCATTCATAAATAAAACAACTCAACACAAGGTCATCTTTGCATTAACTCTGTTATCTAGACCAATAATAACCGTGAGCTCCTTTAGCAGAAGAAGGATGTTCATTATTTTAATAGATTCATGTTATTATCCAGCAGTAAGGAGCTCTGAGGTTTCCCACAATCCACTGCAGATCAAACCCAACGTTTCCAAACACTATTGTACAAGTGACACTGCAGCAGATTATTAATTAAAATCTTCTGCATAAATAAACTTTACAATATATAAAGCATAACGACTTTAGATCCACATCAGACCGTTTGAGATAATAATGTGTTTAATGCAGTTTTGTGTAGACTTGTTTACGTTTTACAGAAAGAAACTTAAAAGAGCATGGCTCATTTGCATAAACAGCGCACTCCTTTTGCTGCTCATGTGGTTCAGCTTCTTTCGGACGAAAGGACAAAAGTCGGTGGAATATGAGGATGTGCTGCCTTGTCTGTAAATGGTGGAAAAGTTTCATGGCGCTAGAAGCTTTTCACTGGCACCAACTTTCGGCTTTCCCGGCGGTAGTGAGGAGAGAATGAAACATGAGCGAACAAAATCAGTGAGGCGGGGGCACGCGGGCAACGACAGAGAAGACAAACAAACAAAGCGGCGAAATCAATATTGAATATAAGCATTATATCGATATATCAAGTTTAAAAAATATCTCGATATATTTAAAATATCGAGATATTTGGACCTACTGTCTATGGTTTGGACCCGAGTCCACATTCACACCAGAGACTGCACCAGAGTCTGGCATTTGGTGCAGAATCAAGCGGACTGATACCACCTCTTTTTTGAGGTCTCGGCCCATTTGATTTAGTGCGGATGTGAGTGCGATTGATGCTGTCACACCAACGAAAACAAACCAAACTAAGAACTTCTGGTTCAAATGGAATGTTTGGTGCGCACTAACTACTGTCAGCGTGAAAGCACCTTTAGTCTGTATACATCTCCAAAATTCAAAGTACTCTGTTCCACCTTGTGATGTCATGTAGTGGTAATTAACATTTACCTTTCACCATTTTATTCAGTAGAGCAGGCATGTCCAAACTATGGCCCGGGGGCCAAATGCGGCCCTCAGACAAATTTTTCTTGGCCCTCAGGCTTCCAGGTGAATTAGCCCAAATTGCCTTGCATCAATTAAAAATGTACTTTTTACTGCAAGTTTTTGAAAATCTACCTTGATAAAGCCAATATTTAATATTTAGTGTGTGGTTTTAAGGATCTTAGCATGAATAAAGATTGATGCCTCATTTTAACATGTTTAAAAATGCACATATTTCAGTTATTCACTGTATTGCGCTCCATTCTACGGCCCTCGATCGACCCTCTGCTTCATCTGTGTTTAGATATGTGGCCCTTGATGAAAAAAGTTTGGACACCCCTGCAGTAGAAGAGTGGCACTTCCAGCGCTGAAATTATCTAAATGATTCCACTGAAGGTTTATGGAGTTTAAAAACACAGTGAAGCACTTCCTGACAAGGTGGAACAGAGATTTCAGTTTGAGAGAAGAAATAAATATGCAGGATTTCTGTGTTAAACGTGTGAATGAAACAAAACACAACTCCAGGTCTGTTTGTGACGAGGAAACAAACAACATTTCATAACATAGATCAGAAAATAGCATGATATGGACCCACTGTTTTTAAACACATACACATCACTGGAATCATTTTTGATCATTTCAGCCCTTTGTATCTCTGCAAAAAAAATGGTGGAAGGTGGAAGAGAGCGGTTTGAGCTTTGGAGATGTAGACAGACTAATAATAAAGGGTTACTTAAACATGTGTGAATGAAAAAAAAACACAACTCCAAGCATGTTTTTGACAAGGTAACAACATTATAACTTAATTTTGCATAATATACAGTAGAAACCTTAAAAAATAGAGATATCATAGTTGTCAAAGTATAGTGAAAGTGATTTAACAGTGTCATTTTGAAGTATTCTAGCCTGAGCCGTGTACCTGATGTCATTGGAGAACTCTTTGTCGTATCTGCGGCGCCCCCTGAGTTTCCAGTAGAGCACTGCGATGAAGAGGAGCAGGATGAGGATGAGGAGGATGCAGCCGATCACCGTCCCCACGATCACCGCCGCTCGGTTGGGGGCTGCAAAAACACAACACGTACACACATAAGAGAAGAGAAGAGTCGAGTCTGCGGCGGTCTGGAGATGATTTCATGATTTTAAAATAATGATACTGAATTTGATCATTTGATTCCAACGTGGATCTGAACAGAGGCTGAGGCGGTCACAAAATTTGGAACATTTCTCATCAGTTCACACCGTTCTCGGGCTCCTTCTCGGAACACTTGACACAGCTCTCGCTCACGAACACCCATGAGCGGTGAATTCAGCCTGTTTTTCTCAATACTGCAGGTCTGTTCCCGTGCGCTCAAGGACATTGGCCCAAACTCTGTCATGTTTAATACAGAAACTCAAACAGAATGGCAAAATTCTACCATTTCTGAGCACCCGAAAACTAAAAATAAAAGATTTCACACGAGTCAAACACGGAGAAGGGTCTCAGGGAAAGCATAGACTATAGACTATCCATAGATAAACACACTGTGAGATTTGTAAATTACTTTCCAGGAGCACATTACATATTACAGAACCGTATTGTCCCTCGGGAGGTGTTCCGAGCTTGTCCCACTGGAAAGAGGTCCCGAGGAAGACCCTTGGACACACTGGAGGGACTATGTCTCTGGGAACATCTTGGGGTCCCCCGGAGGAGCTAGAGGAAGTGTCCAGGGTGAAGGAAGTCTGGGAGTCCCTGCTTAGACTGCTGCCCCCTGTGACTTGGCCCCAGATAAGTGGAAAAAAATGGATGGATATGTATTGTTGATGTATTTGCAGCATCCAACATCTTTTCTTCTGCATCAATATTTTGGATCAAATACTGCAAAGTCTACTCTGCAATCGATAATGTATAGATTGATATTTGACATAACACAACACAGACAGTTTTTGCAAAGCTTTTCCAGTCCAAAATTCATCTGTGTAAAGTGTGAACCTCAATACCAGACAGCGATAACCCAGTGATTCTCAATAAATCAATCAATCAGACTTTATTTCTATAGCACCTTCCAACAACCAAAGCTAACCAAAGTGCTGTACAACATTAAAACAAGATAAAAAACAATAAACATAGGTCAACAAAGCACATTACACAATTAAAATAAAGAAAGTGTCACAGGGCCACTATGTGTTAAAAGCCATTCTAAATAAGTAGGTTTTAAGTTTGGTTTTGAACAAAGGCAGGACAGGGATGGACCGTAACTCAATGGGCAAAGAGTTCCAGAGTTTTGGACCAGCAACTGCAAAAGAACGATCACCCCACTGTTTGCACTGGGACCGGGGGACCTCCAGCAGATGTTGCCCAGCAGATCGTAGAGCTCTGCTGGGTTGGTGAGGGGTCAAAATCTCACACAAGTTGGAAGGTGCAAGACCATTGACTGCATTAAAAAGAAACATCAATCATCATTTCTGTGGTTCCTGAGAGAAGAACTAAAACTTCTGAGCTGCACTTTCAATTGAATTAAATAGCACGAAAAACACATGAGCAAAGTGTGAGAGTTTTTGGAGATGATTGATTAGTTTTGGATGTGAAAGTGCATTTTGCTGAGATGAAATTTTCTTTTAGCAAACCCATGAGGCTACGTTTATATGATGACGGTCTGAACAAAAGAGGCAAAAGCGGTGTTGCGTCTTCACTTCTTATTCCGCATTTAGGTGAGCATTTTTGGGAGGAAACCTGCATATGGTGACGTAAAAGTGTGTGGAATTTGATTGGGCATGCATGCCAGGTTTCTGTGTACTGTATATATGTGACGTAAACGTGTATGCGACGTGAGCAGATCTGACCAGAGTTTTACGTCTTGTGCAGTGTAGATAGAAACTCTAAAGTGGAGTGTATTCAACTTTTCCACTCTGGACTGTGGTTTAAGATGTTTGCGTTTTTAAGACCCAAAAATGCCGTCACCGTCGAATCGAAATTCACTTTCGAGAAAATATTTTGTTGTTTTTACCCACAAGCATTCTTGTGTTCGCTGTACGCAGGAAGGAGCGAGGGGCGGCGTCCTGACGTGAGGCAGATGGACAGGTAGGATGTTTAGGAAGTTGAACCTGCCCTGTGATGCACGCTGGTACATCGAGGGCACACGCTGTTGCAGACGAGCCGTGCATAGGGAGCGTGTGTGTTTGTGATGTGCCGTAGAGTCTCCGCGGGTTTCAAATGAGCGCACAGGCTGCACTGAGACGCCCCACACGCTCCTGCACCCCGGTTCAAGTTTATTGCCAACAGCAGCAGCTGTAATGAAATATGATCGCACTTGTTGAGTGTCAAGACCTTGAGTGAGACACAAGACCGAGTCCAAACGTGAGTCCGAGACGAGTACTAAGACACGACGATCTACCCACACGACCTTTGACATATTGAGCACCCCTGGTTTAAAGTGTCCTGATTAATACAACTGTAAAAATGCTAAATACATACACAAATACATCAAAAAGTTGAACTCAAAATCAATTCCCAGTAGCCAGTTACAACTTACTTCAGCTTTGATTTTACCTCCAGACTAATCTATATTTCTGAAATCGCTCCTTTTCATCAGAGCTCAGTGATTCTGCTTAACATCTCTACCTCCATCCTTCCTATACCTCCACTGATCGCCTCTTTCATGCACCATCACCTCCTCCCTTCTCCATCATCTCCCTAATCATACTGTATCTCTTTCACTGGCTCTAGCTAATAGTCCCCGGTTAGCTCTTTACCGCTCCGATACCTCTCCATCAGCGCCCTTCATCTTCCAGCGCTAGCATCGTCCTGCGATAAGCTCCCATTTGAACACTGCACCTGTTGCTAGATGTAATTACCCGCTGCTTATGCTAATCCGCGCCCCCGGCCTCTTCAGACAGGATCTCACATCGTTAATGTCATGTAATGTACTGCTTTAATATTCTATGCGGAGAAGCGCCTCTATGGATTTTAAAGTCAATATAAAGGTTTTCATGTTTTTATAATGATTGCGTGGTTTGGTGGGGTAGTACCTGTGCTTAGTGTAGTTTTATATCAGTGAAGTGGCAGTTCGTGAAGAAAAGTTTAGAATAAAGAGTTCTAAAATGGAATACCCCTACCTATGTCATCAAGGAATGAATTTTTTTGGCAATTTAAACCTTGATTTAACAAAATAAAGGTGTTATAATTTATTTGGATTGGTCTAATCATAACTCTGTTTTTGTGTTTAGTAGTTTTATTCGGTCATTTGGCAGTACTACAAAACAAAACAAAACATAGATTACAACCCCATGGATCATGATCGATCAGGGTTTAGGCCAAAGTAAAAAGTACTTCTAATGCCTAACCCTTTTAAACAATGACAGTATTCCAAGAAAGAAAAGCAGTGTGTGAACAGAAAGTTTGCATTTACAATTTCACTTATGACTTACTGCATGGGTGTCCATATTTTTTTCATCAAGGACCACATATATAAACACAGATGAAGCAGAGGGCTGATCGAGGGCTGTAGACTGGTGCTCAGTACAGTGAATATTTGAAATATCTGCATTTTTAACACTTCAGAATGAGCCATCAGTCTTTATTCATGCTAAGATCTTCAAAACCACACACTAAATATGAAATATTGCCTTTATCAAGGTAGATTTTCAAAAAAACTTGCAGTAAAAAGCAAATTTTTTACTGATGCAAGGTAATTTGGGCCAATTCACCTGGAAGCCTGAGGGACAAGAAAAAATTTGTCTGAGGGCCGCATTTGGCCCACGGGCCATAGTTTGGACATGCCTGACTTACTGTATATATAAGAGCCAAAATAAAATAAAAAAAAAAAAAAAAAATGCATAATTCATTCATTCCAGAGCTCTATATCTTTCAAAACACAACAATTTACTCTTTTTTTTAAAGGCTTCTACAGTGTTAACTATTGCGTAATTTAGACATTTTGGTATATTTTTTGGGTTAGAGTTATGGAATCATCTTGTACTTTGTATGCCATATCTCTTGCCAGTCAGTACAATTATGAACTTGAATTTGTTTTTTCTTTTTTGATTCCATAACTATGGGGTGGTCAGCTGCTTTTGTGGCTACCTGGTTCTTGAGCTCAGTTTTTAACATGGGATGTTAACCAACTAAGAAGTACAGTATGTGCAGTTCAAAGGACACAAGTAAAGGACAGTTGAATTTTGTGAAATGAGCTGTTTGTTTTTCCTGTATCCATGGAGACTGTGTAAGAGGATAGCTAAGTAGCTACCTAGGGACATTTGAAATGCTACAGGCTTTTTACACCATATGTGAGAACAAACATGGCAGATCTTCCAGAGGAAACACTTTGAGGGAATGGACCATTTCATCAACAACTGAAACACCAGAGTGGACTGAGGCCTTTCCTGTTGTGTTCACTGGCTCCCCCTGGAGGCTGCTGACACTCTTGGCTCTTCCTCTCCTGAAACTGCCCTGACACAGATCTGCTGACCCTCTGTGAATGTCCTCCTGTTAAACCGCACTAGACTTTTGACTGAGACACAAAGGACACTAGAGGATGTGTATGGGGTGAAGGAAGTCTGGGAGTCCCTGCTTAGACTGCTTCCCCGGATAAGCAGAAGAAAATGGATAGATGGACAAAGGCCACTTAGATGTGCAGAAATGTTGCAGCAACATCATCTGTAACAGCTTGTCTGTTTCTGTCTAAACATTCAGTTGTTCAGTTGACTTTTTGCATCTGGAAATACAAATGTGTGGGCTTGTTTGTGCTTTGACAATTAAACCTACAATTTGTTTAGCTGACTGTGTAACAGATTCTTTTTTCATTAGAACAATATATGGCATGTAGGCATTTGCAATTACTGTTATAAACTATAATTCTGAACATTCTGAGTGTGTGGGTGGAGAGGTTGTATTGTACTTTGTTCTAAGTGAGAACAACATCATGGATAAGTTTTTATTTATTTATTTTATTTTTTTGCAGCACTACAAAAAGGCTCTATTTTCAGTATAATATAATGGATCCCTCAGGGGGTTGTTTTTGGCCCATTCATCTTCATTCACTGTACTCCAGACTAGACGTCACACCACATGTCCAGCTGTGTTCTCTGATTACTCTGAGAATAACAATCTCATCATCTCCACATGGAGCAGATATGATTCATTCTAAAAGACAAACCAAATGTGTTTAAAAAGATTTGACTTCCATTTATGAATTACCTTGATGGCAACATTTCAGCTTAAGAGTTCATGTATCATTGTTTGCGTGGGACCAAAACATCATATGTGTCTGAAAGCTTATATCAAGGGGTGTCCAATTATACTCATGTTGAGACCAAAATAGATGTATGGGCTCTATTCAGACTTACGTCACAAACTTGGATGCATGCAGAGGATGACTTCCAGCGGACTCTGTTGGCGATAGTAACTCTGACAATATCTGGGAAAACTGAGAAAATGGCCCAGTCTCTTCATTTAGATGTCACTGTTTTCTTTCTTTTTTTCTTCTATAAATGGCCTATTAATTTCAGTATTATAATTTGTCTAACTTAATTACAAAAAAATAATTAAATAAAAAAATTGTCATACTTTATGTAATGTAATTTCCGAACTATTGAGTGCACCTGAATATAAGCCGTATCAACAAAATTTAAACTAAAATTTTAAATTGTACATATATAGGAATATAAGTCGCAGGTGTCCACATCTTCAAGAACGTTTTCAAGTTCTGGTCATCTGCTTTTATCACTTCTGAAAATTTTTATAGTCTTTTAGCACTGAGCCAGTTCGTCACGCTGCCGTTGCCAAAATCTCACCACCGAGCTCATGTGCAGCAGCTCTGTTTCCTTCTTCCACAGCCACATCAGTTGTCTTTAACTTAAAAGCTGCATCATCTGCATTTCTTCGTGTATTTTCCATGAGGAGGGTGTGTGTGTATGAAGCACAAGATAACTGTGTGTGTTCAAAACACAATCAAATGAGAATCTTCCTCGGCTCATCACCCCTGTCTCTCCCTGTGCTCTACTGTGCACGTCTCCTGCAGAAAGAGTCTCTGTCCTGTTTGTATCATGTCAGTGTCTTGGAGGATTTCAGCAGATTTCAGGCTCTTCTGGGGGCGGGGCTAGTTCTATCAATCATGTATGAGTGGATGTCTGGGTACTGAAAAATGAGAGACGCTTCTTCTCGTCATTTACACATATGGGTAAGACATATCCACTTCACCAATATTCATTTAGCATCAAAACTTATTTTATCACACAGTGATAAACTGTTTGAGTGTGTGAACAGTATCAATAGCTAGTGTAGTGAAGACTGTATCAAGTGGTGGTTTGAATATTGTTTAATGAAGTTACACATTGAGTTGAAGCTTAAACACTGAGATCTTATCTGTTGGATAGTACCATTGTGTTTCCTACATGCTTCTATTCTCCTATGTGCTTCTAAGCAAATTCTTTTGCAGAACTGGGACTGTGGAGATAACCAGCTGGCTTATCTAAACAGACTTGGTGTGATTTACAATGGTTTGGAGGGGGTTATCACTTCCCCCAAAGAAGAAATGCTGACACTTCAAGGCGACGATTCAAGAAACCTGCTCAACATATTATATACATATTCATATGGATGTCTATAAAATCTGGGTTGAAGTATTCAGAGGCAGTAGCAACTTCATGTTAACCGTGGATCCATGTGTAACCGCACAGACAGCAGTGGTTTCTGCACTCAGGCTGCGTGTATGTGCTGTGTTGCTAAACCATAGACTGTATATATGAATGGACAATGTGCCAAACAAAGAATTCGTCCATATATTCGCCGCATCGTTTTATTAGCTGCAGGGTCCAAAGTGTGAGGAAAAAGTAGCCGCTTATAGTCCGGAAATTACGGTACTTAAAGGTCCTATATTACACAAAACTGACTCTTGTGTTGTCTCATCTTAGAATGTTGTTACCTTAGAATGTTGTGTTTTGTTTCATTCACACATGTTTGAATAACCCTTTATTATTAGTCTGTCTACATCTCCAAAGCTCAAAACGCTCCGGTCCACCTTGTGACATCATGAAGCAGAGGTTTTCAAATTAACATCTACCTTTTTTCCACTTGAGACTGGCAATTCCAGGACTGAAATGATCCAGATGATTCTAGTGAAGGTGTATGGCATTTAAAAACATAGTGGAGCTCTTCCTGTATTACCACATGACATCACAAGGTGCAAGAACGCAGCCTAAATATGCAGAGTTTCTCTATTAAACGTGTGAAAGAAACAAAACACAACTCGAGGTCTGTTTGTGATGAGGAAACAACATTCTAACATAGATATAGAAAACAGATTTATATACTGTATTTAAAACAACAATAAAAACATGTGAGGATATTTATACGAGCAGGTTAATTAAAATATAAACTTTCTTTTGTTTTTCACACACCCCAGCTCACTAAAGTATTCCTGTGAACCACCCCCCTGCTCCTGTACTCATTACAACACAACACAGCGTCCACACACTCCCCAGTGGATTCCCTTTTTTTCTGAATCTCGTACGACTCATGAAAGCCTTGGCCGCGACACAAAGAGCTTTCTGTTTGTATACTCACGTTTGCTGCATCGGAGGTGGACCTGGCAACGCTCCGACCCCACGGCGTTGTTGACTTCACACAGGTAGAGTCCCGCGTGGCTCTGCGAGTGGTTGCTAATCTTCAGTTCTCCGGTAGCGCTGTCTGAAAACCACAATGTCATTTCAGTATGTAATATAATGCAGATTTTAAAGGTACACTGTGTAAGTTTTCCCGTGGAGGGTCCGTCAAATGCTTTTCTCCGTGGAGATGTTGTTGCTTTGTCTGGAATGTTTCACAGTATGGTATTAAACTTTTCTGTTGTCAAACCAGACCAAGTTACAGGTCAGATCTGTGGAGAGGCGACGCTGCTCACAGTTAGAATGCCTGTTTTTCTAGATATTTTTGAACTATAAAACCATCTGTAATTGAATAAATGTAAAGTAGAGCTGTTTAATGTCATACTGTGGAACATTCCAGGCAGAGCAGTGACATCTCCATAGAAACAACCATTATAAACAATATTACTTTGCTAATTATGGCTGTGGTGCTTATTCCAGAAAACTCAGGCTTAGTCAGGAAATGTGTTTTGGGTGATTTATTGTGTTCTCCAACAGTGCAAAAAAAAAAAAAAAAAAAAAGGTGCCAAACGTGAGTGGAAAAATATTTACAGTGGTTCAGTGGAAAAAAAAATTCAAGTTCGAGGCAAACGAACAAAAATGAGTTTTTGTTAGACTTCCCCTTTAAGTGGCGCAGTGTTTGCTCTCTCACTCTCTCGTTCGCTCTCTGGCTCTGGTTCTCTCCGTGCACGTTACCTCCACTGTAACCCGGTCACAACTGACGGCCGAGCTGCAGAGCGTACCTATATACCCCCGTTTGCCCCTCCCACATTACATAATCCCTTAATAAATGTACATGTAATACCTTGCGTACAGAATGAACAGGTCTCGTTTATCATTTCAGAGAGACAGATAATCAGTTTAATTGAGCATGCAAATTAATTGTAGCTCACATGATCCCCGGAACCCACGCAACGGAAGGATTTAAGCTACTGGCGCGGATGTGTCCGGGTTTGCCAGAACGCACCACGGGAGGAGGGCGAAGGTGGCGGCACGAGAGTAAGTGACTGACTGATTTAGCATGATTTTGATGGACAGAACAAGCGCTTCTACATGTGCATCTTTAGTTGCCGCAAGACACGCAGGAGGTGTTGTGAAAATGTATTTTATTAAGTGGTTTTGGTAAGAAATGGTTCGGTGTGCGGAGCGCAGTGAATAAGAAAACGGGTGCGTGCGTCTTCACATGCTCTCTCCAGGGACGGCGTTCTTAGGGACACTGGCATATTTCTGGGTACATATGATTATAACACTACTCTTGTATAGAAACTCTCCATATTTAGGTTGTGTTCTTCTCTCAAACTAAAAACTCTCTGTTTCAACTTGTGATGTCATGTGGTAATACAGGAAGTGCTCCAGTGTGTTTTCAAACTCAATACTCGATCATTTCAACCGAATAAATGTCTATCTCTTCTGAACGAAATTCAAAAAGGTTAGCTGTTCACTTGAAAACTAACACTGCATGACATCACAAGGTGGAATAGAGCGTTTTGAGGTTTGGAGATGTAGACTAATAATCAACAATCGTCGTTCTGCAAATCTCAAGTAAGTCAAGTCTTTGACCTCAAGTCCAAGTCAAGTCCCAAGTCAAATACAGGCAAGTCCAAGTCGAGTCTCGAGTCACTGGCCCATAAGTCCAAGTCGAGTTCGAGTCGTCTGCTTTGAGCTTCAAGTCATTTCAAGCCCTTAAACCAAAGTACAAAAGATAGCTTAGATTTTTGCAATTAATATGATTTTTAAACTAAAGTGTACTTAAAAAGTCATAGTATATTTATATATGAGTATTTATAGATTATAGAAGAGTTGTATAGATGCAAATTTTTACTTTTTAAATGTCTTGACCAGATCTTCGAGTGAATCATTACGAACAAAACAGAAAAAATTCAGATTTAAAAGTGGTTTTAAATCTGAATTCTTCTCAAGTCACAGGCCAAAAGTCCGAGTCCAAGAAAAGTCCCAAATCTTAGTCCATTTTATCAAGTCAAGTCTCAAATTCTAAAAATAGTGACTCAAGTCTGACTCGAGTCCAAGTAATGCAGGATTACTCAAACATGAGAATGAAACTAAAAAAATCCATGCTTCGGTCACAGCATTCTAGACGCAAATATGAGCTTTAATAATAGATCGCGAAAAAAGCTGATTATGTCTTCTTTAAACAGAGAGATTGAGATTCAAGCTTTTTTAAAAAAATCCATAATTCTACCTAACGCTGTCTGCTGCTGTTCCCTTTGATGCCTTTGAGTCTTTGATGTGCAGTAGCGGCCTGTTGTCAGTAGAGGTCACACTTACCCTGTTGCTCCGGACTGGCCCCTGACGGTCCGCTCTGCTTCCTCCACGTGTAGCTGAGGGGCCCGGAGCCGCTGGCAGACTTACAGTGCAGAGTCACGGGCTCCCCCTCCATCTGGGTCCCCTCCGCCCAGCACCGAGGCACTGACGGCTTCACTGTACACACACACGACACATTACATCGACTTGCATTCAATTCCTAATAATGTTAAAGAGGAGGTACTACGCAAACTCATAATGATCATAAACGATACATTTTGTGCCTTCATTGTCATTGTTTTTATTTTGTATGACCATAAACAAAAACAAACCAAAAAAAAGTAAACATTTTTTCATTCTCATTGTGGTTTATTTTGTGCGTTCAGAAATGATAAACGTTTGTGCCTTTGTAAATATTATTATTACCGTATTTTCCACACTATAGGGCGCTCTGGATTATAAGACACACTGTCATTAAATGGTCTATTTTCGAACTATTTTCACAAATAAACCGCACCGGACTTTAAACGAATTTACCATTATCGGGGATAAATACGCGAGGTTACGCACTGTGTTTGACCGCTATCGTGTTTCGTGCCTCCGACCAAAATATTTCCCAGCATGCAACGCGGGCTTTTAATAACAATGACATCAGCTGAAACTCGTCTATAGTGTGAACCAGCAAGTAACAGTGGTGCTCTGTTAGCATGCTAATTTTGGTGTATATTCATAATTCTTTAAGATTTTCACTAACTAGGACAAACCAAATGGCCAATTATTTGATAGTAGTTTAAAGTGGTGGTATTACAGGTTGGCAGGTGTGATTCCAGCTCCCACAGACGAATACTGTCGTGTCCTTGGGCAAGACACTTAACTTTATTATTAACTTTATTATTTACAAAAAAGGGCCTTGAGAATTACCATCAACGGTCATTGTAGAGAGCCATGCAACCCATTATTTGTTCAATTAAAAGTGGTGAAAGTGCATGATATTGTCTCCTCAGAGTCATGTGTAAAGCAAAGTGCATTGTGTTACCTGTAAATATTCAAAGACTGTTTGAGATGAGAACAAGCCACTACAATTTAAAAGGAACCTCCATATTTAAAAAATCCACATTCACAACCAAGGTTACGGAGCGAAGCAGCACTGGAATAGTCTTGACAAAGATATAAAAGAATCAAGTACAATGATGGCATTTAAAAAACACATACAATTGAATACAGCGAGTATGTATGAAAAAGTAAAGTGAAGATTTCTGTTTACAATGGATTAATAATTGTGCCTGAACTGAAATGTACTTGTTAGAAATATTTAGTAGCTATCGGTGTTGATGTTTGGTCTAGAAAAGGTAAAAGGGGGCAGATAACATAAGGTGACTCTTCTTTCTGCTCCTTTACATTCTTTTCTTGTGTGTTTGTTGTTGTGACACTGTTGATGTCTTCTTATACTATATGAATGAAATAAATAAACAAACAAATAAATAAATAAATAAACCTACCTCGCCCCCTGGGTCTGCGAATATGTGTGTGTGAATGGGTTCCTTGTTGTAAAGAGCTTTGAGCCTTGAAGGTAGAAAAGCGCTTATATAAAAATGTGACTATTTACCATTCAGCATTAACACTTAACATATTTTGATCACAATATTACCTTTTGTTGTTTAGAAAATGCTATATTTCCTTTCCCTTTGCTCTCTGCTGTAAGTCACTCCCTCTTCAACAATTCCAACACAATCTCTTTACATTTGTCAAACTGCAGTGTACAGTTTTGAATAGAGTTTGTATATTTATGGAGAATTGTCGTGTGGGTAATGTAGGCTTTTGAATACAGTATTTTCCGCACTATAGGGTACTCTGGATTAGAGGTGAGATCGGGCCTAAAAAATCCAGCCCGACCCGACCCCGCCCGCGGGTATTAAAACCCGACCCGGCCCGAGCCCGACCAATTAACTTGATTTGCAGGCCCGAGCCCGAAGCAAACCCGAAATGTCATATTTTATTTGTGAGGACTCGGGAGGAGGAGCAGTGCTCAGCGTCGAGGTGCCAGTCTTTTTGCTCTCGTATGAAAGCAAAGCGCCACATTGACGACATTCAGCGAAGCCAACGCAAGTTTCTGTAGCATTTTCAACAATCAATTTGAAGCTTTTCCACACCTCACTCTTACCGCGTGTTTGTCTTTTCAGTTCTCCTGCCTTTAGTTTAACTTCTTGCTCCTCCATATTGGGGATACCAGGTCAAAATAGATGCAGACTTGCGGAGGGGAAGATTATTAAATTAAGAGGGGGCGTTCACGTGCGCAGAGCTCTGGCTCTGCGGATCCTGTTTAGTAGTTAAATAGCAATTACATTACATTACTTCTCTGTTTTATCCATATTATTTATTTTATAACAAGTATTCCTTAGTTTAGTATCCACACATCGTTTTAGCATACATTTTATAAACATATATTTATTTGAAGCCCGAGCCCGACCCGACCCGAAGTAATGATTGACATTTTAGGCGTCGGGTCGGGTCGGGCTTGGGCTCGGTCTTAAGATCTTACCTCTACTCTGGATTATAAGGCGCACTGTCTAGAATGGTCTATTTTCAAACTTTTTTCGCATATAAACCACACCGGACTTTAAATGAAACACAACAGTGTGATGGGTCAGTGGGACTTTGTTTGGCGCGTTCACGGTGACTCTGGGCTTTGTTCAGTTGTGGCGTGTAGGGAGGGTGCTGTCTGGGACCAACGGATTGTCGGCGTTTTCGCAGTGACTCAGTTGTTCAGTCGTGGCTAGAAGTGGCACATTGCGCTCGCTTTTTCGGTTCGTTCCTCCGTTCCTATAGCTACCCTGGTGTTCTACGCAAGAAAGGACTTCACGCTTCGTACTGATGATCATGTGTCAATATTTATTCTCAGTAATCTTCAGCTCCATCAACACATTGAAACACAGTGAAATCTAAAATAAGGACAGACAGAGAAAAAGGCTTAGCTTTACATAAATACCTTTAAATGAATGCAGAATTGAAAACAATATTTACTGTGTTCGCCTGTACATCACCAGCGGTACTTACGTAAGTAGTATGTCTTATATTTTGACGTCTTTACACATTTTTCTGTGTTTTTCTCTATCGTCTTTTCTCTTTTTCGCGGCTACTATATTTCTCTCACTCTGTTTACTTCTGGGGCAAGGTAAAAGGTCACATAACTTAAAAGACAAATATTTTCACACATAAAATATAAAATTAATAACTGTGGTATTCTGACACATCTTAAATATTTTAACAAATAAAGTAATAATTTTCTCACTTAAAACAAATATTCTAACATTATCGTCAGCTACACATTCCTCGTTGGTGTGGAGTGATGAGTGTGGCTGCGGGTGTGTTTCGCTGCGTGGTCGCTGTCTGCTCTGTGTGTGTTTGCGTACGTTGCGAGTGGTGCGGCTTTGTAGTTTACTGAAGTCGTGCTGGGACACCCGAGTGGATTCGTGTATAGGGCGCTCTAGATTGCGGGGCGTGCAGTTGTTCTTTGAGTGCGTATACATGCACATCAGTATCCCGCTTATGATCAGGTTTTTTGAGTATCCCGGTTTCTTCATGGTGCATGTATACACAGTACCCTGGTTTCAGTATCCCGGTTATGGCAGTATCCCGGTTATTAGAAACTAGGATACTGTAGCTGGTTTATTCCGATAGTAACCGGGATACTGTGGCATGTAAACGCAGTATCCCGGTTACTGCAAAATAGAGTTGAGCACGCATGTGTCCAAAAAACAAACACAAAACAGTAGCGACAAAAAAAAGTGACCAATAAAGTGATCATACATGAGTGAAATGACTGTACAATAAAGAGCTGCACTAAACCTGCACACGTACAACCTGCACTTGTATGATCGCTGAAAAGCTAAAACATGAACTATCTCCTATACGATATACACAGAACAGACTCACCATCATTAGCACCTCTTCTGTCACAAAAAGAACACACATATTCCACTGAGTCGTGTCTTTTAGTCCGAAAGAAGCTGATCGCATCAGCGGCACAAGGAGCGAGTTGTGAGCTGTTTTTATCAGTGCTAACAGTTTATGCAAATTAGCCATGCGGTCTTAAGTTTTGTTTCTGTAAAACGTAAACAAATGTGATCAAAGCTGAATGATATTATCAAACGAGCTGATGTGGCTCTACAGTGGTTATGGTTTATATGTTGTAAAGTTGAGTTAATTTATGCAGAAGATTTTAATGAAGAATCTGTTCGGTTTGATCTCCACAGTGGATTGTGGGAGATCTCATAGCTCCTTACTGCTGGTTAAACCTCCCAAGCTTCCTCTGCTAAAGGAGCTCATGGTTTGTATTTCTCCTGGTTTATTAAATTGATTATGTCAATGGATCGTGTTTACAGGGAGTTTCCTGGTTTCTCAGCCCGCATGTATACACAGTATCCTGAATACTGACATAACCGGGATATGGCTAATAACCGGGATACTAATGTGCATGTATACGCACTCAGTGATGGGGTTGGAGGCTTTTGAGTGTGCTCTATAGTGCGGAAAATACGGTAGGTTTGAATAGCTATATTAACACACATGGATGCTATTCAAACACACATGGATGACATCTAAAACCTTATTCTGGCATGTTTTGTGAGCATGCTAGTTGTTAGAAATAGGCGACAGCCAAACTCCACTCTGGTGATCATCGTGAATAATTAGGATGCTCGGAATTAGTTAGAAAAGCGAGGAATAACTTTGAACCAGTGCAAAAATGATCGAGTTCTTTTTCTCATGTTTGTTTGTTTTATTTTTTTTCATATGGAGCTGAGCCCGTTCACGTCATGGCAACATTTGTGACTCACTTCAGTCAGCGGTGGCCCGGGGTTGACTTAATCCAGTTATCTCCAGTCATTTCCTACAGTGTGTGGGCTGCCAGTACAGTACACACTCGCATCCTCTTTCACACCGTTAAATGGACTTTAGAAGAATGTGCAGTATATGTGTAATCAATGGAGACAATCTGATCTGATCTAGAGAACCTTTCATCTTTTGTACATATATTAGACGTACATGTACCAATGATGTCTCAATGTAAAGGTGCACTATGAAACTTTTCTTGTCTCTGTGAAGATACTGTAGCCAGTGTTGTGAAGTAACTGAATACATTTACTGAGAATATTTAAGTATTTAAGTATTCTTCCCATCACTAGTAGAGCCGTTAAGGACCAAAATTGTTTTTTTTTATGATACAAGCATGAAACTTTGCAAGATTACAAACATATGGAACCAAGTCCAATTTAAAACTGGAGCTGAGAAATGCGCATGTCACAAAATGGACTACATGAAAATGAGGCTGGCATAAAAAATACTGCATAATCCCTTTCTTATCGTCTAATTTGCTGAGTTATCAATTTTGTAATTTTGATCAACTATTTTTTTCTAAAGTCCAAAGCATCACATGACTAGCCAGATTCATCAACCAGTTTCATTTTGTAGAAACCGTCTGACCTTGCAGTGTTAGGATTCGTTCGCTCAACGGTAAGTGGATACTTTTTTCATTTAACCAATCACTGCTATTTGGTCGTGACATATGTAATGCGCCACTAACTTCCCAAATCCCGTAGGAAGAAGGACAATAACGTCTTTCCCCTTGATAAAATTCACCAAACATTCTCTTTGTTCCGGCTTTAAATCCTCGATCTCGGGAATTGTTGACAACACAGAATATATGACTCTTCGCTGATTGGCTGGTGCCCGGACTCACACTTTCGGGGTTTTTGCAAACTGTCTAGTGCAGGGGTGTCAAACCCATTTTGGTCCGGGGGCTGAATCCAACCTATTTTGATCCCAAAGGGGCCGGATCAGAAAACTCATGTCATATAAACCCCCAAAACAGCAATAAGTTCAAATATTTGTACAGAGAAACACAAATCTATTACAGAAATATTTTTTAATTGATGAACTCTTTCTTTTACAAAATATTATAATATTATGAACAACCTGAAACTTTAAGAAAAATGCAATTTTAACACAATGTTTTAACATGAACTTGTATGTAAATAGGAATAAGTCAATTTTTCTTGGAAAATCTTGCACTCGGCTCCACTTTCTCATGTTGGACATTTTTCTGATGAGGGTGTCACGGTCAACAGTCAAAATGATCGTCCTTTAAGAGCGTTTGGAAAGAGACAAGTCTTCATTTGTGCTGCTCTGGTGGGAGGGGCCACGTACAGAGACGCTGGAGACACTGTTATGCTCACCAACGCAGAAAATTACCAATATTTTAATAGAAAATATAATTAAAATATTTTTGTAGAAAATCAGCCGAGGGCCACATTAAAGGTCTTGGAGGGCCGGATCCGGCCCCCGGGCCTTATGTTTGACACCTGTGGTCTAGTGTATTCTGATTCCTGACCTACTTGCTGGAGAGAATGTAAGAGTTGTGTGGGTTCTCTGTTGTTGAAATCCAAGTTAATACACTATTTTATCTTTCAAAGCCATATTTATTGGTTTTTGATATCAACTTGCCATATCATAGTTCATAAAAATAATGACCCCAAAGACAGGATAGTTTTACACTGTACCTAATTGTTGGCGTTCTCTCAAAGTTTGAGTTACATGGATTCAATTAAACTAATATTGTGTTTTTTTGTTTTTTATCCTTACATATTTTTGGTTGACAAAATTACTTGATAAAGGTGCATTGTGTAACTTTTAAGCAGTAATTTAGCTCCCAGCCTCGTTTCCATGTCAGCGATTTTGTGACATGTGCACCACTTGGCTCCAGGGTCGACGTAGGCTTGGTTCCTTATCCAGAAATGTTGGTCCTAGGGATGTTAATAATCTGGCAGTTTCATGCTTATACCATAAAAGTGAACAATTGGGCACTTTTTTGCACCTTAACAGCTCCACTACACTCCCTGTAGCTTCAGGTAATGTTTGGAAACTAAACCCTTTGGACAACTATAGGTTCTATCTATACACAATACTGTTCACATTCAGACTCGAGGTCCATCTACACTTCTGCCACTAGAGTTTTCAGTTTGGGCTGCCCCTGTGGTCAGGCCATGTCTGATAAGTTGGCAACATAAAAGAGGCGTTTGATGCATTTTCCTCAGTGCTCTCTCAAAGCCTGCACTAGCACTGATTCATGACTGGCTGCAGGCTCTGGGGTTTAGTGGGGACAATTCAGATCTGGGGACACAGATACAGTATGCCATGTGTATGATTTTTTAAATAATAGACATGATTTGGTTCCTTTTGAAATACAATTATATATTTTGGTCAAAGCGCTCAGATTTAGGAGCCGTCTTATTTAATTTGCTGTGCAGCTCAGTGAGTGAATGAGGCATGTGAGGCATGGACCTGTCCTTATACTTAGAATCTGCACTGACAAATGGGTCTGACTAATTTCTCTCCAGTAACAAAATCAGGAATCAGAATACACAAGACGGTTTGCAAAAACCCCGGAAGTTGTAGACCATGCACCGGCCAATCAGTAAACAAAGCGGTTGAGATGGATGTAGTCAAAGCCATACATGTGTTGGCAACGATTCCCGAGATCGAGGATATAAAGCCAGAACAAAGAACGTTTGATGAATTTTATCAAGGGGAAAGACATTATTGTCCTTCTTCCTATGGGATTTGGGAAAAGATTATTATACATATTAATATAACAGTTAGTCCCATTAGTGCCGCGTTACATACGTCACAACCAAATAGCAGCAATTAGTTAAATAAAAAGAGCAAACGAATCCTAATGCTGCTAGGTCAGACGGTTTTCCATGACGTGAAATTGGCTGATAAATCAGACTAGGATCTGATAGCAAAGATCACTAAATTACTCAAACCTGCATGGATCACGTCTATTTCATTTCAGCCATTTGAGGCATGTTTTTGATGAGGAAACAGCATGATAGAACATGATAGAAAGCTCCATAAACTTAAACTCCCTCTTTAATTAAAACCAAAATAAGACTAAACTTAAAGTGCCTTATACACAAAAAATGATGAAAAGCAAAGATCAGTGTCCTTACATCTATACCCTACTAGACAACAACAGGCAACCGACATGAATAATTCACCCGGTAACATGTGGTGATGTAACCTGACCCAGACTTACCCAGGACGACCAGGGACACCTTGCGAGTGTCCACCCCAGGGGACTGTTTCACTTTGCACTGGTAGGTGGCGCTGTGGTCCGGGGTGACTGCGGCGATGGAGAGGGAGGCATCCTGAGAGGCGGAGGGGTCAGGGCTGGAGAAGCTCATACCCTTGGTCAGGGGGTTCTCCCGGTGCACGTACTGAATGCCACCGCTGTACGAGACCAGCTGCAAAACAAGGACAGAAAAGACTAAACTACTCTCTGATTTTTACTTTCTAAAATATGAAAAACACAAATGCTTTATTTTACAGTGTTTGCAGCAGTCAAAAGTTGTTCCACATTTACCTTATGTATTCACAGCACCAGTACCTCTTGGTTCGCGGATGATAAAAACACTATGATTAGATGGAGACAGCACACAGGGGTCTCATTTTTAGAGCTGCGTTTACAATCTGTATCTGTACTTTATATCTGCACTGGGTCAAGACAAAATGAAGTTTCACATGACAAAAACTGTAGGCACTTAAGTTCCACCAAAATAAATAAATTCTGTTAATTTTTCGCGGGACAGTTTAAATTTTCAGTGGGACAGTGTATATTAAAGGTCCGATATTACACAAAATTGTGGGTTTTAAGTCATGTTAGAATGATTTGCAGATGCAGTACATCCAGATTGATGAGCCTGGGTCCTGACTCGAACCAGGAAGTACAAGCACACGTGTCCTGTGCTCAGGACTCTGCAGGTTTCTGGCTTCCTGTGGCTCAGAGAATAGACTTTAAAGCAGCTCGGCTTGTGTACAAGTCCAAGCACCAAACTACATCTCTGATATGTTAGAGCCATATGAACAATCTCACACTCTGAGGGCCTCAGGGACCGGTCCCCTGCTGGTGCCCAGAGTCAGGACTAAACACGGGGAGCTAAAACCTGGAACAGTCTTCCTGAAAATGTGAGACCGACTTCTACTCTGACTGTTTAAATATAGGCTCAATATAGGCTATTTATCTGTGCATCTGACTGAAAGGTTTTAATTTTTCATTCTGCACTCTTCTCTCTCATTAATGTCTCTCTCTCTTTAATTTTATGATGATTATTTATGTTCTGATTTGTTTGTATTGTGATTTTAATGTGTTGCTTATTCCGTAAAGCACTTTGAATTACTTTGTGCACAAATTGGCTCGGGGTCCCCCAGAGGAGCTGGAGGACGTGTCTGGGGTGAAGGAAGTCTGGGAGTCCCTGCTTAGACTGCTGCCCCGGCCCCGGATAAGCAGAAGAAAATGGATGGATAGACAAATGATGCTATACAAATAAACTTACCTTGCCTTGACATTTAAATGATTTTGCCCATCTGAACTGAACATACTGAACTAAAGGTAAAAGGTAGCTGTGAATATGAACACTACCACTTCATGACATCACAAGGTGGAACAGAGCATAATGGGCATTGGAGATGACTCAGAGGTGGGACCAGGTCGTTATTTTGCATGTCTCAACTAAGTCTCAAGTCTTCGACCTCAAGTCCGAGTCAAAGATAGGCAAGTCCAAGTCACTGGGCACATAAGTCCAAGTCAAGTCCAAGTCATCTTGTTTGAACTTCAAGTCATTTCAAGTACAAAAATACCAAATATATCTTAGATTTTTGCAATTTATATGATTTTTTTAAGTAAATTGTACTTTAAAAGTCATGGTATACAGTATTTATATATATAAGAGTTGTAGAAATGCAATTTTTTCCTTTTTAAAGGTCTTGACAAGAGTGAAAATTATTACAGTCAGAACAGAAAGAGTTAATATTTAAGAGCGCTTAATAACAGTTTATTTGTCAACTAGTCTAAACATCAAGTCTTCTCAAGTCACAGGCCTAAAGTCCGAGTCAAGTCCCAAGTCACTGATCTTTAAGTCCAAGTCGAGTGCCAAGTCTATGTCTGTTTTATCAAGTCAAGTCTCAAGTCTTAAATATAGTGACTCAAGTCTGACTCGAGTCCAAGTCATGACCTGCAAGTCCTCAACCTTGGGAGATGTTTGACTCTGTGCATCTCATTTCTTGTACAGAATCTACATGCAGAAAGTATAACCCAATCTTTACTGCAGTCTGTCTTGCCACGTTTTCCCATAAACATATATTTTACAGTGTAACGTACTCTTTTATTTTTACCACTATCCTTCTGATGTATGGGACTGAAAGCATGGCCCTATTTTTCTTGTCTGTGAGAAGGAAAATACAAGGGGCCATAAACAAACATTACATCAGTACTCCAGTCAAACCTCTCTCTAAATTACGACAGTTACTAGCGCACCCCAAGGACAAGAGAGACCAAGTCCACAAATGCAACGTAATATGTGAAATACCTTGTTTTTCATGCACAAAATGGACTGTGCAAAAGAAACAACTAAAAATAAAAATAGCACCCAAGCCACTAAGCAACAAGCCCACAAAGAACAAGTTAATGCATCTTTTCGGTTGTGGGTCCATCATTAGCTTTTTTTTTTGTTTTTTCTTGGATATATCATTGCTCTGCCTGGAATTTTCCACAGTATGACATTAAAAAGCTCTGTCTTAGATTTATTCAATTACTGGTGGCTTTATAGCTCATAAATACCTAGAAAAACAGGCATTCTGACCGTGTCTCCTTGAAGATAGAAAGGTGTAATACCGTACTGTGAAACATTCCAGACAAACCAATAACATCACCATGAAGAAAAGTTACACAATTTACTGGGCGGAATGAAGAAGTAAAACACACGGATTAAGTTTTGTTTGATTTCCCAGTGAGATGAGTTTATTGAAAAAGCTGATCTTTTCTAGTCTTTTGAACCATATGGCTTTTTTCTGGTTCTGATATTGTCATATTTTAGTGTTGGGATTCGGACATCATTAATTGAGTGGTTGTTGGATCCTAACAGCGGAAAACGGCTCGAGAAACGTGTTTGCGAACTCCATAACTGCAAAAGGGAATCAGATGTGTGTGACTGCAAACTTCTGTTCAAACTGTTTCCCTTTCCCAACGGAATTGAAAAATAGTGCAAGGCGAAGGCAATGGGCAGGATTGATCCACAGGAAGGACAAAAAAGGAAACTTTTGACTGCCAAAATCATCCCGAGTTTGCAGCGAATATTTTGTATGTATTTTGTATGTGCTATAGACATAGCTCCATTTTTCCAATTGATGTCACATTGAAAAACTGTCACCCTTCTCTCTTTATTCACTCGTGATCCCCTAATCTGATCCTGTGGTTTTTATTTATCTGTTTTATACGTAAATAAATTTCTATTCATAATATGGAACTGGCTTCGAATGTGCCCCTACGGAACAGACATTTCACAGCAACATCATGTGACACTTCTGAGGAAGGCTGAAACTGCCAAGGTATAAAACAAATTGAGGTCTGTACATGAGAATCTAAATCAGAGGTCTCCAACCTTTTTCCTCCTGATGAAAATGCCAGAGAGCTACTCATTTTAGTGGATCACTAGAAAGTTTGTAAATATAAGAGCCATGGTGAGCTTTAAATAAGGTGCAGTTAGATGTCTATAAAACATAACCCATTATCCAGTAATCAGAGCACAATATTAGGAAACAAAAATGATACATTTACTAAGGAAATAGACATTGAATCAGTCAAATTTGAGTTATTCAGTGCAATACGTACAATTCAGAAATCCCTTGGCAAGCTACTTGGAACAGGGTGGAGAGCTACTGGTAGCTCCCGAGCTACAGGTTGGAGACCCCTGATCTAAATTATGCAGTATTTTTTGAATTATAAGGCATACTTAAAATCCTTTAATTTTCTCAAAAATCGACAGTGTGCACTCTAATTCAGTGTGCCTTATGTATTAAATTTGATTGTGGTTAATTACCTCGAACCAATTTTATGTGGTACATGGCGCTTTTATGTGGTAAATGTGTGAAAGAACACACATATTCCACTGAGTTGTGTTTTTTAGTCTGACAGAAGCTGACTGCATCAGCACACAAGGAGTGAGCTGTTTTTTTTTTTCAGCGCTTATAATTTATGCAAATGAACCATGTGGTTTTAAGTTTCGTTTCTGTAAAACATAAACAAATGTGCACAAATCTGAATTAAACACATTATTACTCAATGTATATTTGAGTTGTCCTCGTAGGAAACAAACAAAAACAAACTTAAATGATCCACCCACATTCACATTCATAATGCACATTCACCAAAACAGGGAGGCAACACCGGGCGAGTTACGCCACGATCTGCCAATGGATCCTGGACGCCTGGGCTAAGGATCAGCCTCAAGTGTCGTCCGTTTGTTTCGCTTAATGCGCCTTATAATCTGGTGCACTTTATGTATGACAATAGATGAGAGAATTCATCATTATTGATATTGTTGTGTCTTGCCCAAGGACACGTGGCCTAATGGATGTTTCATAAGAGAGATCATGTGTCAGAGAGTGACAATGTGCCACAGCTGCTATTAAACATTCTATTATTATTATAAAACCATTCTTTTCAGATTTCTTTGTGCCTCCAAGGTTAAAAGACGTACGTGCACATGTATGTGAATGTACGAGTTAGATAACGCAAGAGAAGCAATAACGAACATTATGTCCGAGAATGGCTGGCTTGGATTTAAATATTAAAGTGTAATCGCAACATTAAATTCGGCTGGAGGACAGACTTTGACTTTTAGTAAACACTTGCTGACCTGGTCTATGGTTAATATCTTTAATTACTGTGTCTATCTGCATGAAGCAGAAACTGGCAACAGTGATTTAAATTAATTTTTAATTTTATTTATTTATTTATTTTTTCAAATAATTTCAAAAAGTGGTGTCATTTTGCAAAACACATAACACTATGACGTGATGCTTGAAAGGACTTTGAGAACTTCTTTGAATGTGGCAAGTTTGTGAAGCCGGTTCCTTACAAATGAGGAGCTGGTTCAGTGTTTTGTAGATATTCAGATGTATGGCTATTTCAATTTTAAACAGTTTATCTCCCATAGAATGATAGAGACCCCTTTAGAATAGATCCTACAGTTACTATTAGTTATAAGAATAATAGGCTAATAGGCCGTACCACTGAGAGTTCCAGTAAATATAACTTGAACTATTACACTGTTATAGTTACATGCTCTGCAAAATCTGATGAATATCTGATTTCTAGACCTTTAAAATGACTTAAAACAGCAGTCCCCAAACCCCTGGGCCGCACAGAAAGAATAAATAACTTAGATTATTTCTGTTTTGTTTATTATCTGAGTCTGAACAATGTTTTATTTTGAACAATGACCGAATTCTCTCTCTTTACATCTGTCTATGACTCACTCTTGATGCTTGTCAAGATGCTTGTCTCAGTCACGTGATACATTAACCCTAAAATTAAACCCACAAGCTGCAAAATAATAATAATGCATCAGTTTTAGATAGCGGTTTTCTGGACACTCAAAGTTTCATTCATACTTCATTCACTCCACACTCGGTGGAGGTAAGATACTATTTTAGCCACAGCTGCCCTGGGACAGACTGACGGAAGCAAGGCTGCTAATCTGTGCCATCGGACCCTCCAACCATCACCATCATCACATACACACACACACCACTCTCATACTAGGCAATGTAGGTGAAGTGTCTTGCCTAAGGACACAGTTTTTGTGACTGGTGACCTAGTGTGGCACCTTTTCCCAGTGGTCTCCCATCCAAGTACTAACCAGGCCTGGACTAGTTTAGCTTCTGAGATCTGACGAGATCAGGATTTTGACAAGCCAGTATGGTCACAAAATGAAGTCACAAAATGAGTGAAAAACAGACGTCTTTGGAAAGGTGTATTATTATTTTTTACAAAATACCGCAGTTTTTGTGTTGGACATATCATTTTATTTTGTCATATTTATTCGCCACACCTTAAAGGCCAGTCTGTGAAAATATTGTCTGACATTAAACTGGTCCATGGCACAAAAAAGGTTGGGGACCGCTGATTTAAAGTACATGCAATAAAGTACACAATCAGAGGATCTTGATACAGTCATTTTGCCGTTAATTTTGTGAAGGGCAGTAGCTCGGTACAGTGTTTGTCCACTGACCCACAGGTTGGCGGGGCGATTCCAGCTCTCACAGATGATTGCTGCTGTTGCGTCCTTGGGCAAGACACTTAACCCACCTTGCCCCCAGTGTCTGCATACACTGGTGTATGAATGTGCAGGTGAATGGTTCTTTGATGTAAAGAGTTTTGAAGGTGGGACAAACCATTTATCATTTCATTTTAATAATATTTTAGCTTCAAAAAATCTGATAAGCCAGTGCCAGACAATTAAATATGACCTATAATCACATCCAGTTATATATATATAGGCCCTCTGTCTGAAATTATGTCATCATTCAATTCCGTAACGTGCACATATGGCATGCATTTATTCCAGTATCCAAGACTTAAAGAGGAGGTATTAACTGCTCACACAATGTTATAGAAAGCTAAAAAAAAAAAAGAAGAAAAATCAGCTTTTGCATAATATTCCGTCTTTAAAGAACACATCTTGAATTTTAAACATGCTATCGGGTACCTTGGGATTAGTATTTGACATTTTCTAACTTCAAATGACGTCCACTTTGGGAAACACACTTTGTAAACTACACTCCTTTTTCCTATTAGGTATTTAGGCACTGAAGTTCCTGCTGCTGTAAGCAAAGTCCGTGAACAATGCAAAGTAAACAAATGTCCTTATCGCTATGCTAACAGAGCCATGTGTTCATTGTGGACACAATTTATGAGTCTGGTTACGGTTTATGAGCTTAAAACTGTGTAGGGGAAGTCCAGATTTTTACCAATGACGCAACAATTTGGGGAAAATGTAAACAGTATTTTGAATGCTCGGAGAAGATAACTTTGGATTAATAAAACATGCATGAATGAAGCAAATTCCAAGAGTTTTTGATGAGGGGACAACAATACAACTTGTTTAAAAGTAAAACAAAAGGTGCCTATTTTACACTAGTTTCTGATATAATGTTGTTTCCTCATCACAAACAGACCTGGAGTTGTGTTTTGTTTCATTCAAACGTTTAACACACAAACTCTGTATATTTCGGATTCGTTCTTCTATCAAAAAGGAATCTGCGGAGTAAGAAAGCTTTCAGAAATATTTGTGTGCATAGGATAGAAATGTACAAATTTAAAAGCTTGATGCACTACGACTTTTGCGCTACATACGGACTGAACCAGGACTAAACTGGGACTGAACTCGGACCAAAACAGGACTAAAACAGGACTGAGCCAGGACTGATCCCAGGACTGAACCAGGTATAAACCAGGACTAAACCAGGACTAAACCAGGTCTAAATGAGCTCTAAATGAGCTCTAAACCAGGACTAAACCAGGTCTAAACCAGGTTTAAACCAGGTCTAAACCAGGACTACACCAGGTCTAAGCCAGGACTAAACCAGGACTACACCAGGTCTCAGGACTAAACCAGGTCTAAACCAGGACTAAACCAGGACTACACCAGGTCTCAGGACTAAACCAGGTCTAAACCAGGACTAAACCAGGAATACACCAGGTCTCAGGACTAAACCAGGTCTAAACCAGTTCTAAATCAGAACTACACTAGGTCTAAACCTGGACTAAACTAGAACTACAGCAGGATAAAACCAGGACTAAACTGGGACTAAACCAGGTCTAAACCAGGTCTAAATCATGTCTAAACCATGTCTAAACCATGACTAAACCAGGACTACACCACGTCTAAACCAGGACTAAACCAGGTCTAAACCAGGACTAAACCAGGACTACACCACGTCTAAACCAGGACTAAACCAGGTCTAAACCAGGACTAAACCAGGACTACACCAGGTCTAAACCAGGTCTAAACCAGGACTACACCAGATCTAAAACCATGTCTAAACCAGGACTACACCAGGTCTAAACCAGGTCTAAACCAGGACTAAACCAGGACTACACCAGGTCTAAACCAGGACTAAACCAGGACTAAACCAGGACTAAACCAGGTCTAAACCAGGACTAAACCAGGACAACACCAGGTCTAAACCAGGACTAAACCAGAACTACACTAGGTCTAAATCTGGACTAAACTAGAAGTAATCTGTAACTTGAGAGAGAGAAGGAGAACCCTAACCCGCATAATGGTACATTTTCATTTCGTGATTGTAATTCTTGATGTCGTAACTTTACATATCGTTCATTGGAGAGTTAACGAATATTTATTTTATGCTCAACTACAGCCAAATATGCACGGATTTCCCAAATATGAACAGATTTCTATTCTATGCACACGAATATTTCTGCTCACAAGAGTCAATTTCCCCACATACATTATAGCAGAAAACTCATTTAATCTTCACACATTTCTTTGTCTCACCATCTGGTCCTTCTGGGTTGTGTCCGGGCTCACTATGGACCACTCGATGTCCAGGCCTCCAGTGTCTCCAGGGCCGGGCTTGTACCTGCAGCCCAGAACAGCGCTCTCTCCCTGGGCTTTCATCAAGGTCTGAGGCCCACTGTCCACCAGCTCCATCGCCCTCGTGCCCAGGAGCTCTACACACACAACACACGTTACACATACACATTATGCACATGAATGGACAACGTATGGCTGGAATTTTTTGTATGTACTGTATGTGAAAAGGTGCACTGTGCAACTTTTCAGGTATAGGGTCCGCCACCTGCTTGACTTCATGTAGATATAATTGTTTTTTCCTGAAATGTTCTACAGTATGGCCTTTAACTTAACTACCTCCATGGAGACAAGCAGGCCACATCACCAGGTCAAGTTACAGGTCAGATCTGTGGAGAAGTGGGCCCGCTCACAGTCATAATGCTTGCTTTTGGGGTAGTTTTGAGAAAAAACAACAACCTGTAACTGATTAAATAGAAGACATATCTGTTTAATGACATAACATCCCAGGTAAAGCAATAACATCACCACTAGAAAAGTTACACAGTGCATCTTGAAACAGTCACATTTCAAATAGAGCTGCTAAACTGGGCAGTAACAGGACTAAAGAAGAGACGAAAGGAAAAGGGGTGGGGCCTGAATGTATTAGAAGCAGCGTGATTGGTCAAACAGGTATCCACACTTCAAACTCCGCCCCTGTAGCCATGTGTAATCAGAAATACTATGCTATGCTATTACGATCTTCTAAAAAAAAAAAAAAAAAAAAGAGGGTGTTCTAAAACTTTGACCGGTAGTGTATAAAAGGGGAAAAACAAAAATCCGCTGATGAAAAATGTATCACAAATAAAGAAATACCTGACTCTGATCACTGCAGTTTTGTGTGATATCAACAACTACTTTGCAACAGTGGAGGCATCACAGACCAGAAAGCTGCTAATTTACCAAGTCAGCACTACAGTCGCAAAAAAAAAAAAAAAAAAAAAAAACACAAAGAAAATGATTAGAAACAGTAAACAACGCTATTAAAACAACATGTAATTTAGTACCAAAATGGTAAATGGTCACATTTTTCTACAGCACTTTTCCACCTTCAAGGCACTCAAAGCGCTTTACAACAAGGAACCACTCGCCCATTCACACACACATTCACACACCAGTGTACACAGACACTGTGGGCAAGCTGGGTTAAGTGTCTTGCCCAATGACACAACGGCAGCATTCATCTGTGGGAGCTGGAATCACACCAGCCAACCTGTGGGTCAGTGGGCGAATGCTCTACCAACTGAGCTACTGCCGCCCAAAATGTGTATTTAGTTCCTCTTTAAAGATATCCAGCAGCGTTAACTTTTATAGCACAACTGAAATTTGAACTTCCATGCATTTCAGAAAAAAAAGTACTGGTTTAAATTCCAGTGTTCCCTGAAAAAATGGTCCGAGAGGGGTTGCTCAAAATGCAAAATAAATTTGACAACAATAACATGACTTTTTTATGATTCTCTGTAAAGCATGTTTAAATCTTACAAAGGTCGCTTGATTGTGGCCGATGTGAGACCTGCATGTTTTAATCAGGTTGAGGAAACATGACTTTATTATAATCTCTGGTGAGGCTCCTCCCTCTGGAATTCTCCTCCACAAAACTTTTGGAGGGAAAATTCAAATGTAACAGGACACAGGACAGTTTCCAGGAGCAGAGGACACACAGTGTGGAGCAGGAGGATTATGAGAGCTGATCTGGAGGTGAGAATTTTTCAAAGATTTTATATGTTTCTCTGACCTAGAATGTTTTCATTGTTAAAACATGTTTGTGGTGTTTGAAATTAGATTAGTTAATGTCAGGACTGTTTCCATGAAACAAATTGTATTTGACTGTCCATCTACAAGAGTGTGACAGTTGTACTAGAGTTGTTCCAGAGTCGTCTACAAACAAAGAGTGACGTCCAGAGCTCTGCTGGAGCTGTGGGGAAGTTCAAGAATGTTCTATCTGATGTTTCAGAAAAAAAAGGAAGATGTTTGAGAACCAACAAAACACAGACCACAGATAAACAAAGTAAGTAAACCAACTAAATAATGATTTTAAAATAATTTTTTAAAATGTACTTCTATTGAAACAGTTTTCGTGTTTCTACAGGGTGATGTGGCACTAGGAGGACTTTATACCAGATGCCCTCCCTGTTACTGCGTTTAGAGGAAGAAAAGCAGCACATGGTGAGTTTTGTTTCTGCAAATACAGTTCTAATGTTCTTGTGATTCTGTTCTGGTCCATTATTGTAGTAATAAGTACTTTAAATGTTTTTAAACATGTTCAACAGCGTAGATCATCATAATGTGATCATCATGTGTTATTCCTGTGTCCACAGAGACCAGAGCTTCTTCACTGGAATAAATCTTCTCACTGTCCATCTCCAAACTGTGTGTCTCTGTACTTGTGCTCTGTGTGTTTGATTCTGTTTAAGACAATACAGAACTGTGGAAAACTAAAGACTGTTTTTGTATTCTTTTACAGAATTAGATCAGTTAAATTAAATTATACACACTTATACATTTCACGATAAGGTAACATAAGACAAATACGCATATTCAGCATGAATTGATCAAATTTCATCAACATGAAAAAGTGACGTTCATGTTCTGAGAAAAATATGTGTAGAGGGGATCAAAATAAGTTTCAAAGCGTAAACATAATTTTATTGCATGCAACCACTTTCCATAACTTTTTAACGCAAATCCAGCTGCCTTTTTTTTTCAGTGTTGGTATGATTTTAACATAATAATAATTGTGGTTGCTCGCGGAGGAAATCATGCTAGTTAGATAATCCCAGTCTTTGAAATTTTCTGATTGCAACTATTCAAATTACAATTTTGTTTCGAGGGAAAGATACTGTTCTTGAGGCGAGAGGTTCTGGTCCTGAGATCCGACCTGCTCCCACCGAGTCCTGGAGAGAGACGGGACATCAGCAGGTCCACCTCCCCCTGTAAACAGACTGAGAGATGATCCTGATGAGAGCGCCGTTATCTGCAAACTTGATAATGTTTACGGAGTTCCAGGCCGCGTCCCATTTCTCTTTCCTCGCTTCTTTCTCCTTGATTTTTCTCCTCGATCCTCCATTTCTCAGGCGTCAATCAAATGTGACATATTAAGTGGTGCATGATATCACACGAACTGCAGATACAGGCCTGTCACGATAATTGCTATATTGACTTTATTGGCTATATTGACAGATGGAAGAACAACTTTTAGAGGTTAATATTTAGGGGCAGGGCTTTTTCTTTTTGTTTTTCTTTGGAATTGTGTTACAAAAGAGTTGCAGAGGATTGAATAAATAACTTCTATGGTTCATTATAGATCCAAACTACTACTACTGCATTTCCTTCTGCAGATTTTTGGGGTAATACTGTTATTGTATCAGTGGCATAAACTGGTTTCAGTATTATGGTTTATTTTCTATATGCTGTTGTTGCTGTTGAAATATAGAGTACTTCAGCGTTTGGTATCATGGCAGATTGGTCCAGATGTTCTTTCTTTATGGCAGGTTTTGATGATTCTCCAAGTTTGACTTAATTTGGTGGGATAATACCTGTTGTAAATGTATAAGATAGTATTACACAAATCAAGGATCAATTTATAAAGAAAATTTGAAAAACATGTTTAAAATTATAGGAAGTAGAGAGTTCTATTTAAGGTCCCGTCCACACTAGTATGTATTCGAGTTGTTTTCGTTTTGGATACAGTGTTGGTCCACACTAATCTGATGGAAAACGGCTTCAGAGGTGGAACGATCTGGTGCCGGGAGTTCCCATGAATTCATCTGAGTACAGATCTGATCCGGCACTGTGTGGACACCTGAAAACACTGATACACTGACGTAGGAGCTCTATTTGCATCCTTATTGGACCACTTGTGACCTTCCTGATTCGCTGGGTTTGTGATATCGGTCATGTGATGCTATTGCGGAAAACAGTTTAAACAAAACATAGACAAACAGGAAACAGCATAGCTAGAACTACTTGCACAGAACAGACTCACCATCAGCAGAACACCCCTCTGTCACAGAAAGAACACTCATATTCCACTGAATCGTGTCCTTTAGTCTGACAGAAGCTGAACCGCATCAGGACACAAGGAGCGAGTTGTTTTCTGAGCGCTTACTTTATGCAAATTAGCCATATGGTTTTCAGTTTCATTTCTGTAAAACGTAAACAAATATGCTCAAAGCTGTGTGGATAGGGAAGGCTTGCGGACACAGAAACGACTTGTGTGGATGCAAATCTTTCCGATACGGTTATACGGTGATTCAATTCAGTGTAAACATAACCTTAGAAAGTCCCATCACACTGAGAGAATTCAATCCAAAACGTTTGTCACAATTTACACAAAAGAAACCATTTTTTAATTTAAACATTATTTCAACAAAATAAAGGTGTTTTCTTCTATTTTTATTTTTTTTTTTAAAGAAAAGTTATCTGTACAACTGAGCTACAGGGCGGCAGTAGCTCAGTTGGTAAGAGCCTTCTGTCCACTGATGAGAAGGTTGGCGGTTTGACTCCCACTCTTGACATAAACATTATCAGTTGAGCGGACAAATCCACTGACCCACAGGTTGGCAGTGAGATTCCTGCTCCCACAGATGAAAGCTGTCTCTGTGTCCTTGGGCAAAACACTTAACATACTCGCCCCTAGTGTCTGCGTACACTGGTGTATGAAAGTGTGTGTGAATGGATGAGTGGTTCCTTGATGTAAAGAGCTTTGAGTGACTTGAAGGTGGAAAAACGCTCTGTAATAATGTGGCCATTTTCCATTTTACCATAAAGGAGTTTTAGACCACTGTATAACATGGTTGGCAAGGTAAGAGTTATGGAATTCCTTAAAGGGACAGTCCAGAATTTTGGACATAGGGCCTCATTTCCTAGTGAGCCAGAGTGTTGGAGACGTGTGGAGAAACTTTTTAAAATATTCCATCCAGTCCTTGTATTTGCAGAGGTCACTGGTGCTAGGCTAGTGCATGTCAATAGCATAGTTAGCCTGCTGCTAAAAACAGTCTTACCCACTCCACAAAGCACCCAAAGCAAATCTGTTATTACACCAGACTGTCGATGTAACTGTCTGTGTTGACAGAATAATTTTAGAAGTAAAACTAACCTT